CAGACCTTCTTAATCAGTCTCATTTATTGTATAATGAAGAAAGACACATTAAAAAATACTAATCTTGAGTCACTTGCGAGATACAGTAGCTGTCCACATCCATGGGTTCCATATCTGTGGATTCAACTAACTGCAGATTGAAAATATTTGGGAAAAAAATGGGTGGTTGCATCTGTCCTGAACATATACAGGCTTTTTTGCTTGTCATTATTCCCTAAACAATACAGTATAACAATTATTAACATGGCATTTACATTGTATTAGGGTATTATAAGTAGGCTAGAGATGATTTAGAGTATACTGGAGGATGTGCATAGGTTACATGTGAATACTGCACCATTTTATGTAAGAGGCTTGAGTATCCATGGATTTTGGTATCCAAGGGGGGTCCTGGAACCAATCCCCATGGATACTGAGGAACGACTGTACTTACTACGCCTGGACCATATGCTAGTCACTGTGTATCTGTGGTGATTGCATGGTGGCTCTGGATATTCTTGGTGGTGAAAACAGGTAATTTTTGCCTTCAGCCATCATGCTGCAGTCCTGGAGCCTCTGATGTGGGAGAACCCGTGTACCTAGAACTTAGCAACTGAGCAGAGACAGGTGTGAGATGAGACTGATGAGATTGGAGGGGTGGGCAGGGCACTCGTGCTTGCTTCCCCTTGTTAAGGGGAAGAGTTTGGGCTTTGTACTTGCTGTGAGAAGAAACCATTGAAGGCTTACTGCTGGGGAGTCCAGCTTCAGTTTTCTGTGAGATTACTCTGAGCGGTGATGAAAAATAGCTGGTGAGTATCAGAGGAGAAACAGAGAATCCAGCTGGCTCGATTTTATTGTAACCAGGCTAGTTATGATGATGGCCTAGACTAGAGAAGTGGCCCTAGAACTAGAAAGAAGTAGATTGATAAAAACTGTTTGGAAGAGTTAACAAAACTTGATGGATAGGATTTGGGGGTAGCAGGGTGGTGAGGGCAAAGAACATGTCAAGGAGGTTTCCTACCCCTTCAGCCTGAGTAACTGGATAGACTCATGTCCTGAGATGGGGGACGTGAGAAGAGGAGCTGATTTGGAAGGGGCAGTCCAGTGTTCAGTTTGGGGCATGTTGAGTCTGCGAGGGAGGATGTGCTTATGAGTTAGGGGAGTGCAGGGACTGGCCTTCTCTTCCTTGAGCTCTGGTAACTGGCTTATGGTCTGGGTACAAGTTAGATACATAAACCACTTCCAAAACCAAACTGATTGCACAGGTTTCCAGTTCACAGATAAGTTGCTATAACTAATGATGCCTCTGTGGTTTCTCATACAGCACATCACTCTAAAAATTTCTGGGTATATGATGGGCAGGAGAGTATTAGTCAGCACTCACTTATTGTGATCTATTTTCCTTGGTGTTCCTAGATCTATGCTTGCCTCATCCAAAAGGTCAAGTTACAGATTTGATCTTTACATGGACCAGTTGGATTGTTTTAAGGTACCTTGTGACAGGCTGCATCCCTCACTTGTATGGCTGGCTGACTTGATGATTTATTAGGAAGGAAACTGGGCTATATAGTTGTTATAAAATAGGTCAGCTTTACCTTTGCTACTTAAAACTCAAAACTGTGTTCTACCTATGGTGTTACTCTAGTGGCATTTGTTTTTGGAGTATGATCCAAGAGATGTTTATGCACTTCCCATGTTGGCTATGGTTATATCTTCCTTCTTATTAAGGATGCATTCATTGAGAAGTCAAACCACATAATTTTTCTTTGGATTTCCTGCAGCCAGTATTTTTATTTCCTTTCAACAAATAGAAATAGGCCATTTAGGGACTAGGATTATACATTTTTGTTCTTGGCTGTACCTCCAGTGCCTGGTACAGGGGCTGGCATGCATTTGGCACTTAATATTTATTAAGTAGATGAGTGAAAGAAGGAATGGCTGAACTATCATTCTGTGAGAAAGGATAATTCAGTTTTCAGAAACCAAGACATCAGGCAGACTATTCTTCCTATAAGATTATGTCTCTGAAACCTGCTAGGAAATCAAGGCTGAAAAATATAAACTTGGAAATCATCCTAATGAAAAGAATTATAGAAACCATGAGAGGGGAAGTCCTTGAGTGTGTGCAGGGGAGAATAAAGATAGAGGAAGAGTGAACAGCAGAGAAAGGGGAGTTGGAAGGAGGGGGGCATCCTCAGGAGAGCAAAGTGTTCCGTGGGAGCAGGAGAAGTCAGCAGTGGGCAGGTAGAGCTGGGAGGAGAGAAGGGGTGCACATGGAAAGAGACCTTTGGATTTGGCCAGAAGTAAGGGAGAGCGTAACATGAGCCTGGATGCACGCTGTGAAGTAAGAGGGGAAACTTTTTCTTAAGCAACGATGTAATTAGTTTTTATTTTCTGCTACATATGCCCAGCATCATAGGACACTGCACTGATGTTGAAGGGTTTATTTTGTGATTTCTTATAAGCTGAGGCCATATTTTTTTCATTGCTCCTATTATAGGTAATGATGTTTGATATATATAATATACATATTTATGCATATATATATGTATGTATACACACACACATATATATATACGAAACAAGGTGAATTTTAAAAAAAGTCACAATAGGTGGAGAAATGAAAATTGACTTGTGTTCCAATGTGAAAAATATGCATATGCGTATATGCATATGCACACACATGTATATGTATGCATAATTTTTTCCAGGCATTACTTTGGTGCGGTGTTGATAGAAAGAATTCATATGGGGGTGTAGGGAGTACATTTGAGCCTTATTAGGATGTACCATTTGCAAAGGAATTAATTTTCACATAAATGAAATTACTTTATAGAAATGAAAATAGTAGCTACCATTTATTCAGCATATCTTTTGTTCCAAGCATCTTACAGTAATCCTGGGAAAGAGGTATTATCACTCCTAATTTAAAGTGAAGAAATTGAAGTTCTGAAAGTTTAAGTGATTTTCTCTCTCTTGCAGAGCTAGTAAGTAGGAGAATCCTGACCTTTTTTACTCCAAAGCCCATGCAGTGTGCAGTGTGCTAAGTTAGAATCCTTAGAGAGTCAGAGCGACTTACATATTTGGTTGAGGGCCGAGAAATCTGCACGTAGAAAACAGAAACCACTAGATGAGAACACTTTCAGCATCCTGTCCCCTAATTTGCCTATTTACCCATATCTACCTGATACCTTAAATATTTTTTTCTTTCTGTTAAAAAGAAAAGGATCTTCCCTCAAAGCACTTGATTCTTTTTATTTATCTCTTGCATCTTTAGTTCGTGTCTCTGTCACCCTCTCTTTTGTTATTAGCTTTTTGCCATGAGCATAAACCAGTCCCTCCCTCTCTTAGTCCATTTAGTGTTGCCAAAAAGGAATACCCGAGGCTTTGTCATTTATTAAAAAACAAACAAACAAACAAAAAAAAGGTTTATTTAGCTGACAGTTCTGCTGGCTGTGAGTTTTACTTGATCTTAGCCAAAAGGCTGAGAGCAATGCTGCAAGTTTCAAGACTGGGCATCTGGTGAGAGCCTCAGGTTGCGTCCACTCATGGTGGAAGGCACATGGGATTTGGCCCATGCAGAAATCACATGGTGAGAGAGGCAGCAAGAGTGGGGAGGGAGGTGCCAGGCCCTTTTACAAACCAGCTCTCATGGGAACTAATAAGAGTGAGAACTCATTCATTCCCCCCATCCCCGCCAACCCCTCATTCCCCCCCAAGGAGCGCATTAATCTTTTCATGAGGATCTGCCCCTGTGACCCAAACACCTCCCATTAGACCCCACCTCCAGCTTCATGGATCATACTTCAGTGTGAGGTTTGCGGGGACAAACATCCAAATGGTAGCACTCTCCATAGCAGATGCCTTCTTTATTAGTAATCACAGCATAACAAACCGCTCCAAAGCCTGGTGGAGTAAACCAAGCATCATTTCTTCAGCTTACTGTCCTGTGGCTCAGCAAACTGGGCTGGGCTCAGTTGGACAGCTTTGCTTCTGGGGCAGTAGCTGGCTCGTGGCCAGGACTATCAGGGTGACTGGAGTCTGTGTCTTTTTTCATCGTCCAGCAGGCTGGCCCAGACTTGTCCACATAGTTACTGGTGAGGGTTTCAAGAGAGCGAAGTCTGCAGATCATCTTAAGGTCTGGGGTCGGAGCTCATGTAGTGTCACTTCTCCGCATTCCATCAGCCAAAGCATGTCACAATGCCAGCCCAGGTCCAGGGGATGGAGAAGTAGACTGTTGAGCCACGACTCCTCCTTGTCCGTAACTCCAGTTCACCCTTTAAGACCATAGCCATGTCACCACCTCGGGTTGAATCCGATGCCTGTGCTCTGGGTTTCCCCTCCCACTGGGTTTAGAACATTGCGTGGCAGTTGTTGGTTTACTGCTTTTGGAAAGTGAGCTCCTTAAAAAATAAGGACTGTGTTTCAATCCAGGATTTGACACATAGTAGGTAACTTTTAAAAGCTGAAGTGTTGTCAAAATAAAACATTCAGGCAGTTGATATCTGGCAATGTGAAAATTGGAATAGAAGATAATGTATGCTTACATCTTAAAACTTGCTTGTTGACATTTAAAAACTTTGGAGCAAACTCATTCTAATATATGAAAATTAAATATTTCTTTAAAAAATGGAAGGGGTAAAGAATCGTGGCCAGGCATCTGAATAGAAATCATTATTTAATATTTGCACATTATGTTTGTAGGTTTTTCATTAGGTTACAAGTTTGTTTATAAGGAAGACAAGTTATAATTTCATGACATGTTTTTCAGAGAAATCATACCTGTTCATTAACTGGTTCATTGGGATCTAGAATAACACTTTTATTTTAGAATGTAAAATGAAGGAAGAGTGTCAGCCAGCATCCTGGATGTTACTCTGGAAGACGTTGAATATAAATGTTTCTGTTAGAACGGGAAGTAGCATATATCTGGTGTGGTCTCGTCTTTAACCGAATGTGTCTTACCAGTTTGCTAATTCTTCATTGATAGATTTTCACATGTATTTTTTGTTTCAGGTTCAGCTGTTTGTATACCTCTCCAGATACCTAAAACCTGATCACATTTTTCCTGGGCTGGACTGCTTTCCTGGTATCTAACCATGCAGCGGAGATCAAGAGGGATTAATACTGGGCTTATTCTGCTCCTTTCTCAAATCTTCCATGTTGGGATCAACAATATTCCACCTGTCACCCTAGCAACTTTGGCTCTCAACATCTGGTTGTTCTTGAGTCCCCTGAAGCCACTGCACAGCTCCTGTCTCAGCGTGGAGAGGTGTTACCAGTATAAAGACTGGCAGCGTTTGCTGCTTTCTCCCCTTCACCATGCCGACGACTGGCATTTGTACTTCAACATGGCGTCCATGCTCTGGAAAGGAATAAATCTGGAAAGAAGACTGGGAAGTAGGTGGTTTGCGTATGTCATCACCACATTTTCCCTACTCACTGGGGTGGTGTACCTGCTCCTGCAGTTTGCGCTTGCCGAATGTATGGATCAGCCTGAGTTCAGAAGGAACTGTGCCGTGGGTTTCTCAGGTAAGGCAGACCAATTTCCGAGGCAGCATACGTGGAGGCAGTGAGGGGGTGTGGCTGCTGTCATTTTATGAGATGTGGTAAGGGGACTAAATTCTGAGTAGTTAAGGGCTGCAGGGGCTTGCATCTTGAAGAGGAGGCTGATTGGAGCATAGGAGGGACTAGTTTTTGCTGTTTTACTTTATGCTGTATCATTCGCTTTTGGACAGTCTGACTAGGCCTGCTGAAAGGTGGTTTTGTGGGAAATGTAGTGCTGGAAACATGCACTGGCCCCATCATGTCAGGGCCACAGAGAGACCCACAGGTGTATTTGTAATAGGGAGTTCTCAAAAATGATGAGTCTGCCTGTGAAGCAGGTTCACTGTGCGCTGGGTACCAACTTGTCTGAGTCTGGTGAGACAGAGCACACTCAATATGCAACAAGTTACGTGAAGCAGATTTGCTACTTATGGGCAGCAAGGGACAGCAGGAGCCTGGGATTCATTGTGAACCAGTCCCTTAAGGCTCAGAAAGCTGCGCAGGGCAGGTGGAGTCTTGACTGTGTGTGCCCCACTTGCACTGCAGATGAGGGACCCTGAAAGGCAGCCCACCCCAGCTTACAAACCTGGGGATGGCCTGCATCACTGGGTGAAGCTTTGAGGGACACCCTTTTCTAGAAGGGAGCTGGGCTGTTTTGGCCAGCTCCCCCTGTATCTCAGGATGTTGCATTTTTACTACATTCCATAGTTATTCTTAAGACCTACAAGCGAGAAAGTGGGGGAGAACTACGTAGGTCCAAGGCCACCCAGAGAACTTTCCTGCACATGCATCCTGGTAACTTCATTAAAGTAAGCGTACTACACCCTACTGTGGCTACTGTGGCATGCCCACCGTGGTTTAGGAGCCATGGGAGTCACTCCGCATAACTTATCCTGTTTAATTCATGCAACAGATCCATAGGAAGATGACATTGTCTTGATTTTATAGCTGAGGAAGCTAAGACACAGAGAAGGGAGGTTGCTAGCTCAAAGTTACACAGCTCATTAGTGGTAGACCCGGGATTTGAACACAGTCTGCATGACATGCGATGCATTGTCTCTCACCTTTTTTCCTCACTAATTCTTTTTTTTACAGATATTTCGTGGGACTGAAATTGCCTTCAGGATTAGGTGTTCTAAGTATTAGAATGTGAAGGGGAGGAGGGAAATAGTCCTGAAACAAGGAAATCAGATCCTTCCTTCTACCTTCCCTGCCATCCTTCCCTCTTTCCTCCAGGATGCACCTTTGTGCATCTAATTGTGGGAGAAGGATGAATATATGTCCTGCCTTCAACATGTCTTTCCATAGAGGTTAAAAAAATACATATTACTGGTATTTTTTATTGAGTTAAAATTTATATAGCATAAAATTAACTATTTTAAAGTGTACATTTTAGTGGTATTTAGTACCAGTACTGGTGTTTCATTCCCCTTTTATGTGTTATATGTTTACTAACATACTGAAAGTCAGTATGAATTTCCACGTCAAGAACCATCAAAGGAATGAGTGCCTTGAACATTGTCTTTTTACCAAATGCTGGGCTTTAAGGAATATGGTGTGTTTTAAAGCAAAAAGTTGGATGTAATCGAATAATCAAGTTCACCTTTTAATTAGTTTTCTTTGTAAATGGTGATTCTCTCCACATTTGGATTATTGATATTTGTATGCTCTTTATTCTCTTTTAGGAGTTTTGTTTGCTTTGAAAGTTCTTAACAACTATTATTGCCCTGGAGGCTTTGTCAACGTTTTGGGCTTCCCTGTACCCAACAGATTTGCTTGTTGGGCCGAACTCGTGGCTATTCATTTATTATCACCAGGGTAAGTGTTTATTCTTAGAGAATAAAAATGAAGAACCCAACGTTTCATGGAGAAAGAATTGCAATAATAATGAGGTAACAAATTGCTTTTTACAGTGAAGTTTATTCTTTATAAGGACAGAATTGAGCTTAACAGTTTTAATGTCAGACATTCCTGGGTTTGAATCCTGTCAGCTACTGAGCTGTGTAATTTTGGGGTCGTTGTCTTATCTGAGTTGCAGTTTCCTCGCCTTTTAGGTAGGAATACGAGAACCTAATATACAGATTTGGGGATCAATATTAATCAGCCAGTCAGCTAGTTAATTCTAATAATAATCCAGAGAGGTACATAGAAACCACATAAAGATAAAAACCCATAAGCTGTGTTGGTCTAATGCTTTTAAGTCACTTTAGCTGTAAATTGTCTTGGTAATGGAACTCTTAAAACAAAAGGCTTTATGCAGAACCCAATATATTAATATAAAATGGATCACCTCTGAACTGTTTTGGGTTGAGAGGAAGCTTCAGGCCGTTCCCTTTGCCTTACTCCTGTGTGTCTGTGGCTGCCTCAGAGGCACCTCCACAAAATCCTAGGGCTCCAAGGAGCGCAGTTTCAAAACCGCAGCTTTAGATGAACCCTTTTCTTCTCTGATGAGGACATGGGAATCCGGGAGGTTAAGGAACTCCTCAGACAGCCTGTGGAGGACGCTGGGCTGGTGAGGATTCAGCCTCCTGGTTCCTGCTGCACTTTCCGCCTTTGGTTCCTTTCTCTGCTTTTTGTTTAGAGAAAGGAGGATGAGTTGTGTTATTTTTCCACCGCTTCCACCAGGTTCACTTCCCTTAATCTGTATTGTGCAACTGGAAATGCATGGTTTGCTTATTTATTTTTACTGTGGGGACCAGGACACTGCAAATGGGGGAGATTCAGGAAGATTCAGAAAAGATGGGGATTTTTTTTTTTTTTTTGCTACTGTTTAGACAGGAGTTTTGGTTTTGGTTTTGATTTGTGAGACTGTGTTGGGCGTCTTACCTAATTTTAGAATATTCTTATTGGGCTGTGTGTCAGCCTGTAACCTCCAGTCCTTCTGTCATGCTCTTCTCCCGTGGTGGGCAGCCATTGGTTGCAGGCCTGTAACTGGCAGTGATGTGGCCCGTGTACACCACTCATTTACACTTGTATTGCTACTTGTGGCAGCTCAGCACAGAAAGCCTAACAAAATCTTCAAAGTTTTCTTTGAAAATGGGTCCAGTAATGTCTGTCTCTTACTTCAACAGCCCTGTCCATACCTTGTCACTCACTGTTCCCCTGGCTTGCTCCACGTGACTTGGTTCTCTATGTAGATGATGGGCTTTTGTATGTAACTGGCAACTTTAACATTCATATGAAAATCACTCCCTCTAGTACTTGAACTTGTATCTTGTGATGAATCCATTGAATAATGGTGCCTTTAGTATTCTCAGGCAACTGTTTCTGAAGAGCTCATCATGCATTTTATTTTTTTAGCCACCTCCCCCCCTTACCTGGAAAAGGCATGGTTGCGTTTTTGTGTAATACGCTTATTCTGTGTGGAGTGACCTGATATTCTCAGCCTGGGAATGAAGTGAAATTTCCTGTCTTTGATGTTTAAATGAATAAGTCTTTTGGTTTTTAAGACTTGACTGCTTTGAATGAAAACTTCTAATTTCCGAGCATCTACTTATGCCTATGTCCAAATAAAGACTGAGCTAAACCCTGATCCAGGAAACCTGAGCAGTGAGTGCTTCTTTGGGATGGATCTTGGAAGAATGGGTGTAACCAGAGCTCTCTTTGCTCTGTATTGTATTCTCTTCCTGGTTGTCAATTAGAATTTTCACTGGGAAAACACTGTAAATCTTTAGAACAGAGCCTGCTTTATTGCAGGACTGTATGGGCTGTCCTTTGGGAGGAAAAAAAATCTGCCAAAGCAAATGGTTTGGTGGACCTCTGTGTTTTATGAAAGCCTTGGAATTAGTAATTTCCCGCAATTACGGAGTTTTATGAAGGAAGGCCACTCCAAACAGGCAGCTATTAGGCATTGTGAGGGGTGCGAGGGGTGTGGACTTGACCGCCAGGGTGAAGTCATCACACTCATTACGTGGTGCTGTTACTTTTCTCCGTTCTTGTGTGTGTTAGTTCAGCGGTCGCTCTGCCTCTCACTGTCTCTCCTTTTCCCTTCATGTCCTGGGACCCTGTGGGGTGGCTGTGTTGAGGAGGAGCCCCTGCTCCAGAGGTGGCCCAGGAGGGAGACATGGCAGCCACTTCAGGAGCTGCCTCCTTCACAGATGGCAAAGACTCAAACTCAAAATGTCAACCACGTGTGTCTGGGCCTTGGCATGGGCATCTCCTATCCCTTTCCCTGGAATGCCTTTCACTCTTTTCTCCTTATGAATTCCTGGTTATTCAAGATCCAGATAAAATAATATCTATTCTGTGCTGCTTTTCCTGATTCCTCCAGGCAGAGTTAATTGCTTGTTTTTGTCCCTATAGCGTTTGTAGCTTTCTCTTCCATAAGCACTTTCTCCTTCATAATTTATCCATATTTTTCACTTTTTATGCTGTGAGCTTCCTTAGGGATTGTTTCTTATTCATTTGTGTATCTTAATATCTGCCTGGTGCATATAGTAGGACTTGGTAAATATTTGTGGTTAAATGGACATAAGTTAAAGAATATCAGCAAAGGACCTGTTGTTTTCACGAGTGCCTTTTGGCCTGAAGTCTCTTGCTAGATTCCTTCATTGACCTCTGTCGGGTATTTTAATTTTACCTCATTCTTCCAGTTATAAGGTGGGCTGATATATCATTGTTTTAGAACTCAATATCAGAAATGGAAGGAGAGAGAAGCAGTAGAATATGTAAAATTTATATAACCACTGAAACTGCTAGTTAAGAACTGTCAATATGAACTGTTAACTCTCTGTACAAAGGAGAATGGCTACTTGTCTCTCTTATTACTGTATTGACTGTAAAATCCGTGTCCCATATGGGACAGAATTCCTTAGGTGGCATGAAACTGCCATGCTACTTTGAGTTCTGTCTTTGCATCTGCATACATTTTATGTTAAGGTGCTTCTGATATATTTGTCTAAAATACAGCATAAAGGACAGTGTTTGAGGAGTTGGTGGAGAGTAGAGTAAAAAGAAAAGAGAGAAAAGGTTAGAGTCTTGGGGACAAATCCATACTGAGAGGCTGTGCTACTGTGAGTCATGACATCACCTATCAAATAATGGGCTTTAAAGCAATAGTTTCCAACTATGGGTTCTAACCCATTAAAAGGACATGAAATCAATGTAGCGTGTCACAACTGGCGTTCCAAAAACAAGAAAAGAAAAGAGACATAGAAATATT